CGTGCGTGTCGAGTGCGCGAAATGCAGGCGAGAGTGCGATTTGCCGGCTGCGCGCGCAACCCTCTGCGGAGATCGTGCGTGTCGAGTGCGCGAAATGCACGCGAGAGTGCGATTTGCCGGCTGCCCGCGCAAGCCTCTGCGGAGACCGTGCGTGTCGAGTGCGCGAAATGCAGGCGAGAGTGCGATTTGTCCGGTCCGCGCGCAACCCTCTGCGGAGATCGTGCGCGTCGAGTGCGCGAAATGCAGGCGAGAGTGCGATTTGCCGGCTGCGCGCGCAACCCTCTGCGGAGATCGTGCGTGTCGAGCGCGCGAAATACAGGCGAGAGTGCGATTTGCCGGCTGTGCGCGCAACCCTCTGCGGAGATCGTGCGTGTCGAGCGCGCGAAAGCAATCTGTGGAGCTGGAAGCTGAGAACTGGCGACTTTGTAGTACAACTTTAGTACGCAGAGTAGCTGGGGAGCTGGAAGCTGAGAACTGGCGACTTTCTAGTACAACTTTAGTACGCGGAGCAATCTGTGGAGCTGGGAGCTGAGAACTGGCGACTTTGTAGTACAACTTTAGTACGCAGAGCATCTCGAGAGCCGAAAGATGAGCACTGGCGACTTTGTAGTACAACTTTAGTACGCGGAGTAGCTGGGGAGCTGGAAGCTGAGAACTGGCGACTTTCTAGTACAACTTTAGTATGCGGAGAAATCTGTGGAGCTGGGAGCTGAGAACTGGCGACTTTGTAGTACAACTTTAGTATGCGGAGTAGCCGGGGAGCTGGAAGCTGAGAACTGGCGACTTTCTAGTACAACTTTAGTACGCGGAGCAATCTGTGGAGCTGGAAGCTGAGAACTGGCGACTTTGTAGTACAACTTTAGTACGCGGAGTAGCTGTGGAGCTGGAAGCTGAGAACTGGTGACTTGGTAGTGCAACTTTAGTACGCGGAGCAATCTGTGGAGCTGGAAGCTGAGAACTAAGAACTGGCGACTTTGTAGTACAACTTTAGTACGCGGAGTAGCTGGGGAGCTGGAAGATGAGAACTGGCGACTTGGTAGTACAACTTTAGTACGCGGCGGAGTAGCTGGGCGGTGAGAAGATGAGAACTGGCGACTTGGTAGTGCAACTTGAGTCCGCGGAGTATCTCGGGAGCTGGAAGATGAGCACTGGCGACTTTGTAGTACAACTGTAGTACGCGGAGTAGCTGGGGAGCTGGAAGATGAGAACTGGCGACTTGGTAGTACAACTTTAGTACGCGGAGTATCTGGGGAGTGGGAAGATGAGAACTGGTGACTTGGTAGTACAACATTAGTACGCGGAGTATCCGGGGAGCTGGAAGATGAGAACAAGCGACTTGGTAGTACAACTTGAGTACGCGGAGTATCTGGGGAGCTGGAAGATGAGGACTGGCGACTTGGCAGTAGAACTTTAGTACACGGAGCAATCTGTGGAGCTGGAAGATGAGAACTGGCGACTTTGTAGTACAACTTTACTACGCGGAGGTGACTTTCGAGAGGTGAAGAACTTGCAGAAAACAGGTGTTCCTGCGCTTCAGAAAGACATACAGAGAGAGACACATACACACACAGACATAGATACACACACACACAGAGACCCACACACTGCCTCAACACACTCGACTTAACACTTCACACTGAACACTTATAACACACTTAACAGATAACTCGCACTCTGACTTCCTACGTGATGAAAAATGCTTTCGGGCCACTCGTCGTCTAGTTGACTTCATCTTCCGTCACAGAATCTTCATTGACCAACCTCTGTGCATCACCTGTTTCGCCGCTCGGGTGCAAGGCACTGGCCACGCCGAACCCTGTGTTGCCGCGGCGACTGCAGGGGGGGGGAGGTCACCCGGTACCTCTTCCATCGGCAAGACGACGTGTTTCTGGGCACCAAATGGCTGGTGACCGTGGTCTGGAGTGGTGAATGAGACATGGTCTACGCGTGCGTCGTGTGCCGCCAGTCGATCAACGTTGAGGGCACATAGGCTCGGCACAGGGCTAGGCACGTTTCGAACTTGATTGTTGCGTAGACCTTTGATCCTTCTTTCGTTGTGAATTTTCGGGGAGGGGCAAGCTCCCGAAAACTCTTCTCTCAGTCTGACTCCTGTCATCAGCACGAGTGGCAGAATCTGAGTCTACCAAAGGCGAGTGGCAGAATCTGACTCCTGTGCCTCTTGTCTTCGCTCCCCACCGAGAATGTGCCAACCCCCCGAGACTGGAACTCATCGGTTCCATTTCGCACAGCACTTAGTGGTGTCGGTGTGGATGAGTGTCGGGTGTCGATTTGTGGTCGCCCCTGAGAGAGAGGTGATTTGGATGGATTCGGATACAGTCACCTCCAACCGGTTGGTCCTGGTACTTCATTGGTGTTCAATCGACATCCCCACGTTTGGGGTGGCAGGAAGAAATACTGAAGCTTCAAGCAGCTTCTTGGCTCCGCCAGATTCAAGCCGGTCCTTTTTCACCACCAGCCCTGGTGGTTGCCACGGCTTGGGCTTGGTTGGGCTTTGGGTCGTCTCTCCGACCTGACAAGGTTCTTACAGCCCAAGGCCAGCCGCCGGTGGCGTCACCGGAGCGTCGGGCTGGTGATGTGGGGAGGAGGACGAAGAACAGCATGATCCATCGATTTTGTCCGATAGATCATTGGAAGATTTGGAGAAGGGAATCTTTCAATGCGACCAAGCAGAAATGGAGTTTCGTTCGTTTCAGCCGTGCTTCACACCACCTTTCGGCCTATCCCCGCTGGGGGCCGACGGCCTTGCGCGTGCGCCAGGCCCTCTTCCTTTGCGTCATCCGTTCATCGCTGATGCCGAGCACTGCCATGAACGCCTTGCGTGCCACAGTCTACACACATATTGTGCAAGAGGCGAGGTCCTGCTTGGATGCGACTCTCCTGGGACACCTCGTAACGGCGGAGCTTCCAATCGAGAAACCCCCCATTTGAGAACACTTGAGAACACAGGCCACATGGACCACAGTAATGTAGATTCTGACTGTATTCTGACTCTTGATTGATCCCCCCCTTTGGATGCGCGAACTTGCGGTCCCGAGTCGACGCGTGCCCACTAACCCCCTTGCTCCGATATTCGGATGGGTTGCTGTGGGTGTTTGTGAAACGTGCGGGGTTACCTCAAACCTTCGGTGAAGTAAAAACAGGTATGTACAGGGAACGAGGCTTCTACGACGAACCAAGGGATGCAACAGCTAGCCATAGGCAGGTTCAAGGCAATTGGCACGAATCAGAATTCGAATGCAAACAGGTGTTGAGAAACAACCTAATTGGGGCCAGGATGGAGGATCTCATCGAGATTCTTTTTGCGAAAGAGATGGACACGCATTTGCTGGATAAACTTATCCCGTTTGGACGGGTGTACTTCTGGCCAATTTGGCCATGGTCGCGGAGCAATGGAGTCAGGTATTGGAGGAACTGGAATTTCGGAATGAAACGGCGGTTCATGCGCTATGTTAAGGACAAGATTATGGAGATAGTCACTTGTCAAGCCTGCATTCGGAAAGAGAGGACGGCATGCAATACCACCTTCATGGTAGGCAGTGAATCCAAGTTTTTGTAAACTGCTTGCTCCCTGTTTCTTGTACACCGGCACGATTTTTGATCGTGAAAAGGTCTGAATGTGTTTTACGATTAGACGAAAAGTGCCTGCTACAACTCTTAATGAGCGTTTTTTAAGAGGCAACATCTGAACCTTTTCATGTGTCAAAGGATATGCAATCTGAATATCATCTACAGGGATTTTGACCGGGAGTGTCCAACCCGACCATAACATAAATGATATTGCTAGTTCAACCCAGGTGATACCAGGGTCTTTAGTAGTGTTTTTTTGATGCTTTGGCCAGTGTAAGAAGGTGCAAAACTCCCACACCAGGCGCGCATAGTTAGCGCCCCATGTGCACGACCAAAAGGCAGTACAGTGGGGTTCAGGAGGTTGTTCAAAATGTTCCCCATCTACAGTCCATGCACGGAAAAGGGCAATGTGACGCATCAACTGCGGCGTGTCTCTTGAATGAGCGGACGTGGAGCTTATTTCTATATCAGGGGTCCCATGGGGGACCGTTGACAATCTGGCATACGCGATATCTAGAAAATAATGCAAAATCTTTGTGTGAAAAGCTTTTTGAGCCTGATAGTGTTCCATAACACTGCGACATAATTCATCAAATTCAGGAAGATCCGTCTGTCGCATGCGGACTGCAGCTTGGTCTGCGCAAGTATTTCCTTGGATATTCCAAAGGTCAGTTTCATTTGTGGCATCTTCCAGTTTTTGGTGTGATTTAATTTTGAATGCGCGAAAACGGTTTGGATCCCACACTGCCTGGAGTCTTTGGATGATGTCCCAATGGTCGTGTTTGTGTGGATATCGATCGATGGCGAAATTGACAACTTTTTCAACGATCGATAGGGCAAACTGCGAGTCTGTTCCAAAATCTGCAGTACGAATAATGTCTGATTTGTCTGCTAGCTCAGCTGCAACCATGATTGCATAGAGTTCTGCACGATTAATGGTTTGGGGACCGAGGCAATGACCAGCTGTGACCAAGTCAATTGAACGCATGGGAGGCTGTCGGAGTGAATGTTGTTCTTCTTGTCCTATTACAATAGCCCATGCGGCACGGCGTGTAAATGGGTCAGGTGGGGTGTCACAAGAACCATCTGTATAGAATGTCACATGCGGGTTCCTGATTCGAACCTCTGTTGAGGTGGCTGTGGTCGTGCGGATGTGCATTGAGTGACGCAACAATTCCACTTGCGGGGAGTGGGAGGGCAGTGGGAACCAGCAAAGGTTTTCGTGTTGGCTGATGTACTCCACCGCTTCTCTATGTTGGGTGCGAACATGTGCAAAAATGGGGCATGTAAGTAGTTGATGGGTATGGGTGTCCATTTGCCCACACCAGGGGCACTTGGGGTCTTGCTGAGCATTCCACAGGGCCATCTGAGCATTAGATTGCCACCCAGCCGTGAGACTGAGGGCGAGTATACGTCTTTGCCGATCTGTAAACTGGTGGAGTATCGAATGCAATGTGGTCGAATCAAATGGGTGTGCAGGGGCACCCTTCCTATGAGAGACAGCGGCATGGCAATGCCAGTCCCAGGCGATACGCGCTTGTTTGCGGATTTGCTTGCAAGACGTGGTCTGAAGGCTGAGTTTAAGACCTCCGGGTCCGAGGAGTATCGCCTGGGGGGTGATTTGCCAGTTAAGGCGTTTGAGGTATGATGCAAGGGCTGTAGCCGGGCCGTATGTTATACCCTGGAACTGAAGGGCTGTGGTGATAATCTGCTTTGCCAGTTCCGGGTAATACGCGAACAGTCTACGCAATGTCGTCAAAAGGTCAACAACAACATAAAGCAAGGGGTCCTGAATCTTGGGTGACAAATATTGCAAAGCAATGTGGCTTGACGCATGTTTATGATCCCCAACCATTACATTGGTTGCCGCCCTTCTTAGTGTTGCATAGTGCTTATCTCCAATGGTAATTGCCTGTGTTCCATAGAATGTTGCGGGCCAGACTGCGGCTTGCAGTTTCTCGGCCCGTTCATCTAGGCTGAGGTTAAGTTTTTTAATCCGATTGCATCGAGCGACAGCATTGTCTATCTTATCTCGGAGGGGTCCTAGTGTCGTTTTTTCCGTATAGGAGATCATGCATCCTAAGTCCTGGACGTGGTTCTTAACTGTAAAGCGGAACTGCGGCGACATTAAAAGTGCTGAGGCATTGTGCCAAAACTCATGGAAGGCTTTACTTGTGGACCATCCCCAGGATTTTCCAAAGTCAATCTGCATTCTTAAAGAGTGAACAAAATTGAGGACGTGCGTCAATGCTTTAAAGGTGGCTTTTTCAGACGCTGACATAAAGGACCAATTATCTGCATATGTATACGGATGGATCTTAGGGTTTTTTACACAGGCATGGAACGAAAGGGGGGTTGTAAACCCTCTTCACATTCGGTTGAAACATAACTAGCCGTCTACAGTCTACAGAGAAAAGATCATGTGATATATCAAAAAGCTTTGTTTGAGGTGCTGGGCATGTGATTTTCATGATGTTTAATCAATATGATACATCTGATACGCAAATGATACATCGTGTGCTTCCTTCTTGTGGCACTTTTGGAGCGGCAGAGCCAGGCGCTGAGTGAATATTCCTACGACGCAGACATTGCCAACTGCTCTTACAGCTTGGACATCGGCGAGGGGAGTATCATCTTCATGCCGCTTGCTCAGTGGGTGGTTTGGTCAGCGGGTGTTGCAGTACATTCCTCTTCGCTGCAAGACGCGTGGATTTTGGTGCGTTGCTGGTGTAGATTTGGAGTGCGGAAAGGTTTTAAGGAGGTTTTCCGTCCAGGGTATGGGTAATGTCACATTGGTACCCTGGTGAAGATCTCCGGTGAGTTTGCATCAGCCAACATATGCATGAATTATTCGTTAATGAAACGCGCGAGCTAGAGCCTGGCTAAACGTTGTTGATGTAAGTTGCATGTGCATGCTCGAGTGCTGTGTTTGTATTTTCCTGGAAAGATTAAGCGCACCTTAAAGTAAGATGATACATTTTCACAGAGAATATATAGCATTTACTGGAGCGCAAGAGCTACCGGGTATACCCACCTGAAATCTGACTGATCCCTGTTTTGGAGAATCAAGCACCCAAGACAAACAACACATTAAAATGAATATGCTCCACCAAAATTCTACCTTACATTACTCAGGGAGCAGCAAGCTAAACAACGATATTGGTAAGCAAGCTAATTGGAGCCAACTGCACTCTCGCCGACCAAACTGGATCGCTTTACCTGGAGCAGTTCTCAGTTTTGCCGACATCTAGGTCCTGTAAATCACAAGAATGAAACCATCCCAATCAGATTGAGATGGAAGTTATATCCGAATCACCCGGTGTATAACCAGGAGAATTTCAAAAGGTAGTATGAATCACCCGGCCTTTAAGCAACAAAAGATAACATGAATCACCTGGTTGATTGAAGATTTTCCTATTCCACCCACTTGGAATCACCTGGCAGAGCGGGCGCAGAGTCAACGTTCTCTTTTCGCCCCAACGGTCGGACGCTGCCGTGTCTCGTGTCTCGGGCGCGAGCTCAGGGCTGGAGGCTTCCACGACAAGTTGGGCGTTTTGATCCAGGCAGAGCGACGTGGAGCGACGTGGAGCCACGTGGAGCGACGGACTGGACCTCGGTCATCCCATGTCAGCCAGTAAAGCCCCCGTTCTTGAGGCCCCCAGAGACTCTGGACAGAATCTAGACACTGAGGTTGAAAGGCTCAAGTTTTTAGTTTTCTTTTCGATACTTTTTCCCCAGATAGCTGGAAGCTATAGGTGTTCTTACTTCTCAATGGATGGGTTCCGGATTACTTCTATCTGGGGTCTATGCCGGTATATTTGTTTTTTCACGACGGGGAGGTTGGCCCTCATTGTGCCCTTCTCAAAGAACATGCTTGACATCACTGAGAGAAGGATATGCCATTTTGTTCATTGCAGCTGTTTAAGTTTACACCTTCCAGTTTCTACTCAGCTCAATGTTTCTTCAGACTAACACAAGAATCAAGAAACTGTTTGAACTTAAGAAGTACGACTCAACTCTTTGCACGGACCGCACACACCAAGTTCGATGTTTCCCCTCCAGTCACATTGCTTTCAAACCTGCTGAAAGTGGTTGAGTTCTCCACCTTCCGTCCTGGAACATTGGCAGCTGAAGCAGCAGGGCGATGTTTGGGGTCTTCGGTTTGCCGGAGGCCGTGGCGCAGAAGATGGTTGAGATCGGGACATCGTCTCTGGAGCCTCCGCTTGAGCACGGGAGGAGTCGTTTTCCGCAGAAGCTGGGCGCCTCTGGTGACGACTACAGTGGTTTCAGTGGTTTCAGCATCTTCCAGGTGTTTCTTTGGGAGGGTTTTTTCCGTGTCGTTTCGGCATGGATTGACCATGATTGGTTTCAAGCTGGGGCGGTTTTTTCGGCTGAACGGCACCACGGGTTCCGATTCTTCTGACAGCATTGAAGCTGAAAGCTGCTTTTTGGTGCTGGTTTGACCGATCAAGTTGCTCAGCATGTCTGGAATCTGACTTCTTCAGTCACACTTCGTTGTTCAATCGGAGCCAGCCAATCTTGCTGTTCAAATCTCCATCTCGGAGAGCCAAGATCGAGGCCGTAAACATCTCTAAGCCCCAAACTCAAATGCCAGCTTCTTCAAAGTGACCTTTTTGGAACTACCTATAGGTGACCTGTTACAGGTCCAAGAGACCTCAAACCCGGGGATGAAGCAGGTCACTTTGAAGAAGCAGGTGGATCTGCTTCATTTGCCCAGACTTGGCCGAACAGATCCAGGCGACCGGCCGGCGCTTTCGGCACAGGCCACCCCCAAAAGCAGCCGTTCTCTCATCTTTAAAGGCTCTTTCACCTGTTTATGCGTAGAACTTTCAGATCGCTCTTCACAGCAAAAAAGCAGCTACACGTCCCAGTTGTAAAAGGCTGTTCTTGGCTTTCACCCAATTTTGGCAGCTTTTGGATACTCTTTCCCAGTGGACAACACGGTGGTCGAGGACTCCGTGCCCGAGAACTACTACCGCATTGTGGTCGATCGCCTGAGAGACGGCTTGCGGAACCAGGTGCCGGTGTGTGTTCGGTTTCAGGTCGGTCGGTTGGTTGGACAGAGTCGTTGGAGAGGTGAAGAGGAGAGGTGAACTTGCTTCTCTTCAGGCCCCTGGTTCATCCTGGTTCCTTTTAGAGTGGTCACGGGTATCTCTGTCCCGGAGTGGGCACGGCAGCACACGGAATCCTGGGCGGACTCATGGTCAGCAACGAAATGGCGACAGCAAGTGGTGATCCTGTCTCACAACCTCCAAAGAAGCTTCTCCAAAAAATCCCAACATGTTTTCTTTCCCTTTGCAATGCAGGCCTGTCTCCAAAGCTCCACCAGGAGTTTCAAAGGGGTGCTATTCCATGGAGGTTCGGGTGCCCTTGTCACATCCACTCACTGGATGGGGACTAAACACCCACCCCAACATGTGACCCCTGGTGTTTCACCATTCAAAGGCCAATTCTGTCTCCATTGGGCTTTTGGACACCTCGTTGCTGCGCTCGTAGCCCCTCGCAGGCCTTTCACTCGCAGCCCCTCTCCCAAGCGAAGCTGCGCTTCAACGAGCTCAGCCGGCGGGTGGGTGTTTTCGCACCAGAGGACCGGCTCCACCGGAGCTCCACCGGACGTTTTGGAGCTCGGAAGTGTGACCATCTGGGTGGTGGGTCCCAAACAACGGAGCCAGCTCACTGAGGTCCGGGTGCTGAGGGGGGGTGCTGAGGTCGGAATTTGGGACGTGCTGCTTGTTTCGCGCTTGGGCGGAAGGCGTTGGTGTCCAGCGGATTCAGGTCCCTTGTCATTTTGACAGGGAACGCCAAAGGAGATCACGTAGGAGAGACGGACTCAGTGCTTCTGAGCCAGCTGCTTCTGGGTGTCCGAACAGTTCCGAGGGCCCTCCGCACCTGGTGGTGGTGCGCTGCATGTTCGGCTCCGTGCGCAGCTCACCTTTTTTAAGACGCCCCTGCCCCCCCCCAATCCACCGGATCCACCGACGCGCCATGGCTCCGAGCTCCACGCCGCTTGCGTTGGGCGCTGCGGGTGCCGCAGCCCTTTTGGCTGCCAAGAGCTTTGTGGCTCCCGGCTCGACACAGCTCCGGGGCAGCAGCAGCAGTGGTGTGGCCGGCACCAGTGCTGCTCCCACCGGTGCAGCACCATGGGGTGTGTCCACCACCGCGGCCGCGGCTCTTGTGGCAGTGGCAGGTGCGGGACTTGGTGTCAGACATGCATTCTGTTCTTTGGTGTTGCCTAGTGTCGGGTGGCCAACTTGGGAGGTTGACGCTCTCAGAGACTCATGGGAGGCCAAGCAGCTCGCGGTTTGGGCACCCCACTTTTGATATGGTACTCATGTGAGCTCATATGAGCTTTCCAATCTAAATCACAAGAATGTAAAATGTTTTCATCAAAAGAGCACAAGAGCCCACAGCCAGGAGATTTTGACTCTCCCGTTTTTCATCCAAATCAACCTAAAATAAGGTCTTGTTTCCGCTTCAAACCTTCCTTTCCAGTCCCCAGAATTCCACCCCAAACCTTCTCACCCCAAGGCTCCACACGAACCTTCTCACCCCTCCCACCACCGCTCCACCCGTACCGCGCCTCTCCGCCGCGCCGCTCCAGGCCGAGGCCTCCTCCGCAGCTCCACCGCGCGGCGTGCGGAGGCCAAGCCCTTCGCCGGTGGCCTCATCGGGAACGAGTCAGCCTTCGCCGGGCAGGACAGTCGGGACCGGTAAGGACTGGTTGGAGGGCAGGACTGGTGGTAGATCCTGATGGTTCAGAGATGGCTATGGGCCGAGGTCAGCAGAGTATCTGACCCTGGATTTTGACCCAAGAGTCACATGTACTTGGTTTGCTGTTTGTTTTGAAGTGGGTATATAGACAGGTGGAGACCTTCTTCTCTTCTTGGCAATGAGTTTCAGGGTCGCAAAGCTTAGGAAACTCCATCAACGGTGTTGTGTACTGTGTGGAACAGCCCCCTTTCAGAACCTCCGAGACTCACAACTGCGGAGAGGAATCCGCTTGTGGTTGACATGTCTCGCTCGAAAAAACACACGCAATGACGATGGCGCTGTTTGTGTCTCCGCCGCACCTGGGGAGGACTTCAACTTTGATCCTTTGGGTCTTTCCGTGAAGTGCGAGAAGTACCTGCCATGGTTTCGCGAGGCAGGGAGACACCGTTGTCACGTGGCTTCTTGCAGCCCTGCCTCCCTTCTTTCTGTGTCAGGATCGGTCGGCCCCGGGTGTTTCGGCCACCTGTCGCCGAAGTCGGGAGCTGCGGGAGCTGTGCTAGGGCGGTTGGCCTACCCGGTTGAGGACCGAGGTTGAAGAACCCAGGCCTAGGTACCCCCCCGCTCCTACCAGTCCGGTCGCTTCACCTCCGGACCAGTGCCGCCGGAGGGTTTTCGTGCCGGACGACGGACCGGACCGAAAGGATGTGGTCGCCGATGCGCCTGGGGGGTGGATCGCCAGGGTATCAGTAGTCGTTGAGTCGCAGTTTGGGTTGAAACGAATAGCAGCTGGACACGAATAGCGATGGCCTCCAACTCCTTGAAGACCTTCTGCATCCTTTTATCAAAGGCATCATACATCTTTTAATGCATCTTCTGCTTGTCCTCGTGCGACTGAGTTCTCGAAAATGATGGAATAGGGACACATGATGAGTCGCATGACGACGGAAAAAGCCGTTGTTTTGCTCGGTGCAGCTGAAGTGAACAAGAGAAGCTGTTTCACCTCTCATGAGAAGCTGTTTCAGAGAACATGTCTCTCTGCGAAAGAAGTGAGGAGGCAAAGCAAAACAGAATGACAAACAACCTGAGCTGTATTTTGCTTTGGGCTTTCGTAGAAAAGTCAAACAAGAGGAAACATACGCATATTCATATATAGTCCATAGTGAGCTGTCCACCACGATACCTTTTGAACCTGTAGTGGGGCACCAAGCACGCATGCAATTACAGCCATTGTAGTGGTGCAGTTAAGTTCTGCACCGCAAATTCAGCTCAACAAAGACACACACACACACACTTTCAAGAAGTCTTTCACATTTCCAAAGTGTCCAATTTTTTCCAGCTGGACCTGGGCCAATGTGTCATGGCGGGAGCCAAGTCATGCCCGCCGTTTGTGCTGCTGAATCTTCCCCATCCGTGGCTCTCAGCGACACTCGCGACCGGAGGCACCCGAGGCCCAGTGGCACTGCCTCCGGTCCCTCTGCTGCCGCTTCCGCCGTTGGCAGTCGTCCCTCCTCCGGTGCCTCTGCCAGTGGCGCCTTTGCCGGTGGCGCCTCTGCCGGCCGCCGAGTCGAAGGCCCCATTGCAAGTCTGGTCCAAAGCTCAGGCGCCCTGCTTCGGCAACAAGCTTGGCATTAAAGAGGAGGCGGAAGATGAGGCAGAACCTCCTGCAGAACACATGCAGAAGTTGCGCGAATGGTCTGAACGCTTGAAACGCGCCTCCAGGTGTCCCATTGGATCCGAAGGATCCGAACGTCGATTTCAGGAGCTGCGCGCGGCGTTGAAGGAGGAAATCGCGGAGGAAGAGCGGGCCGCAGCCGAGGCGGCGTGCCACGCAGAGGTTCAGCTTCAGGCGAAGCGCGACGAGCAACGCTTGCTGGCCGCAGGGCGCGTCTTGTCCTTGGACCTCTCCGCGAACTTGCGGGACGTGCGGATGCTGGGTGCAAGTGGCACCTCGATGGCTGCGCTGGATGAAGGGATCTCTCAGCTTCTGGTGAGCCTGCGTCGGGCGCGGGCGATCTGCCAGAAGCTGCAGGAGGAGGAGAAGCAGTTAGACGTGGATCACCAGAAGAAAGGCCTGCGCCTGCATGAAGAAAGCCGGAAGCGCCGCTTGGCCTTAGTGGGTCGGCTGGCCAAAGCACGCAGGAAAGAGAGCGAGGACTCCAAGCCAAAGGACACTGATGAAGCCGAAGGAGAAAACCCTCTTGATGACTATGTGGGTGGTGTGCCTCTCTTGGCGGAGATCGCCCAAGAGGCCCAGGCTGCCCAGATCGATTTGCTCCTCTTGTCCTTGCAGCTCTCGCGCTGTGTCTCAGGTGGCAAGTCCCATTTGCAGCCGTTGAGCTTGGCCGCTGAGCGGCTTCAAGGCCTGCTGGCCGACGCGAAGATCCAGCCGATGACGGTGGGAGAGACGCGAAGAGAGGGGAACGCCGAACGTCGAACGGAGCGGGCGGAAAAAAGGGCCGCCTTGGGAGAGTTTTCGAGTGAGCTTTGAGCGTGTAGTCTACTCGAGGTGAATAGATTCAAAACGATTCAACAGGTTTCAACCATGATTTCAACATCGCCTTGTTGGGAGGTCTGCAAAACGATTCAACATGTTTCAACATGATTCAACACCTCTCGTTGGGGATCACCTTGGAGGGAGGTCTGCAGATGTTTGCTGATCAACAACTGGTTGGAGAGCAGAAGTGCATGATTTGTTGCCCTCTGTGAGCCAGACTTGAGTGTTACTGTGTGCGGATCTAAGGCTATCCCGCACCATTGGTATGTTTGGCTGAATACTTGTAGCTAACGCGATTTTCGGAGCGAGGCAAGCCAGCAAGCCACATGAAGCCTTTTCCCAGCTAAGACCTGAGCCATCTTCCCCCACCAACTCCAAGTTCAGCAACTTCTTCAGACAACCAGGTTTGGTGGGACATCTCCGCCTTTTCAGTGGGGGCTTTCCCCCACTTCGTGGCGGGGCGTCTCTTCATCGCTTCTTCGTCCCGTAGACCGGTCCCAGTGGCCCCCCGGACACACCCTGGGTGTCTCACTCTGGTTGTTTTTCCTTCCTTCGCCGCGGTTCTCCGCGTTGGGAGGCGGAGCTGAAGCATGGACGGATTGCTATGCTGGCCTGGGTTGGCTTGGTGGTCCCCGAGTTCGTGCGCATCCCAGGGCCTGAGGCGCTGAGCTGAGTGGAGGGTAGGCGCTCTCTGAGTGGAGGGTAGGCGAAATGGGAGGCAACAATTGGTCCCATAGGGATCGGGTTTGATGGTTGATTCGTTGGGTCTGATCGATTTTGGCAGAACAACAAAATAAGTGAAGCACAGCCGCACAGCACTTGGGATTTGAGCCGTCTTAACCGGTTTACCATCGTTAGTTGCTCCAACTTTGGTGTGCGGGAGCAGTGGTTTGAGGTCACCTCTCCCCAAGCTGGAGTGCTTTCGCTGAAGGAACCTAGCAAGGAAACTATTGGTTTGTCTCACAGTTGAAGGCTTTGCAACCAAACGTTTCTTGGCTTGAGCAGTGGATGGGCCCTGACTGGTAGCTGGTTGCATGTAGGCTAGAAAGAACGGCTGCTCGAAGTGTCAATGGTCCCGAGTGACGGTGGCCCCCAAAATGGATGTGAGATTTGTTGATATGATTGACCTGGGACAAGCCACATCGCAGAGTTGTGCAATCCAAAATCTCCAAACCACCGTTTTTCGAGATGGTCCTCCATCCATTTCCAGCGAACCTACTGCTAGCGGTCATGTCCGTGCACTTGCAGCGGTCATGCGGTCTGACAACCGTGCACGAGACTGGAAGAGGCTTGCTATGGTGCCAAGAATGTGGTGGAGGCCCACAACGCTTGTGCTGGCGACCCGTGTCTTGGCAGGTTTCCGGAAGGCGGTACTTCTTTTT